TGGTTGTAAACCCAAAAAACGGTTGTATGTTTTGTTTTCGGTTACGTAAGAACAGCTGATTAGCGATGGTTATGTAATATTCTCCGTAAATCCTTTTCTCTGATTGGTTCAGATTTTTCCCGGGAAATTCAAATTTAAAATTGAGAAAGTTTAATATTTAAGTAGCTATTCATTATTTTACAGAACTTTTAACCACGAACTTAAAATTCGCGCATTCTTTAGTTTTAGACTCTGATGGCGTAAACCTTTGAATCTTAAACTCAGACTATTTGATTTAACAAAACTTCTAGTTTTAAGTATGTCAGGTTGCAAAAATATAAAAATTAGAATTTTTAAATTTTAAAAAAAAATAATGTTCTGCGTAACCCCTTCTGTATTAGCCCCCCTGGTAAGACTAACTATGCAAAGTTTTAATCACACTGCTCGGATTGATTGATTGATTAATAATTATATGTTTTGCGCATATTCACGGTAATTAATCAGATAGTTAATTAAGCAAACTTTTTAAGATGATTAATGTAAAAATATATTTATTTATAATATATTTTCTCTCCTTATACGGATATAAAAAAGAAAACAAATAATTTGTACATTTTATTGAAAAATTTAAAAAATTTACAAAATTTATAATTTATGAATAAAATATTGAGCTTATTTCAAAATTTATTTTCGTTGTTACCAAATGTATGTTTTGCTTCGCATTTGTATCAGTTTAAAAGTTTCTGTGAAAATCATAAGATTTTTTTTTTATTTAAATAGGTATTTTTGTTCAAAGTAATAATCTCAATTGGTATTCTCCTAAATTTTATTTTTCCTAAATTTTATGACCCGCAGATCTTTAAAGAGAATGTAGACGAATTGTAGAAGTATAAAGAGAATGTAGACGAATGTAGACTTATTAAGGGAATGTAGAATAATGTAGACTTATAAAGGGAATGTAGAAGAATGTAGACGTATAAAGGGAAAGTAGACAAATGTAGACGTATAAAGTGAGTGTAGAAGAATGTAGTCAAATGTAGACGTATAAAGGGAATTTAGACAAATGTAGACGTATAAAGGGAATGTAGTCAAATGTAGACGTATAAAGGGAATTTAGACAAATGTAGACGTATAAAGGGAATGTAGACCTCGAGGTCCTATTTCCATTGATATTTCTAAC